CTTCCTCTTCTTCACCAGTGCACGGTGGCAAGGACCCGCGTGTCCGAGGCTTCATCAAGCACACCCACTTTGGTCTGCCGCTCGAGCTCGATCACCTCAAGTCCTTCTCCAGGGAGCGCAAGATCGACCCCGAGGTTGCGCGCCAGGTACACTCGTTCTCCTAACTTATTTACTCACCAGCGAAGCCAGCCACACCACGTCGCTCATGACTTCCACTTCCTCATTTCCTTCGCATGCGCACCGCTTGCGCGCACATGCCCACTCACGGTCCCTCTCTCACTCTCTCTTCCAGAACCTGTTGAACTTCAACATCTGTACGGTTCTGCACCCGCACGAAACCTGCGTGCAACACTTCTTCACGTTCGCGTGGGCCGGCTTCAAGCGCGCTCTGCCGCTCTACGCGCCGCTGCACATCGTCACCACGCTGGTGGTCCTGCTGGCCAAGCTCACCTCCAAGGTCAAGGAGAGCGTCAAGCGGGCTGGCAGCTTCTCCAACCTCAGCCGCAGCTTCAGCATCGACGACTTCATCGAGGCCACCGACGCCCAGCAACAGACGCACGATGGCGCTCACGCGCCCGTGCCCGCGCAACCGCCAGCGAGAAAGGAGCCCCTCCAGGCGGCCCTCGACAAGGCGCAGGCGTTTGCCGCTAGGATGCTCAAGGTGCTCACCAAGAGGCGCATCCTGCGCGTCACCTCGTTCACGCTGGCGCTCGTGCGAAGGGTCATCTTCAACATCGTGCGGTCCTCGGTCTTCCTTGGGGTCTACTGTTCCGGTACTGCTCGCTTCCTTCCCGTTCTGCCCACCACAGCACTGCCACCAACATTCACCGCTGCAACTCACACCATTGCCCATCGCCAACGCGGGATGACTTGATGGTACAGCTGCCTGGCTGGCCGCTTGCTTCGCGCACAATATGAGCGGCGTCAAGGGTCCGTTCTGGGTCCGACTCCACCTCATGTTCTCCGGCCTGGCTTGTCTCCTCGAGGTATGATCATTCCAGTTTCGTGTTCTTCGTGCGGGCTTGAAGCTCATGCACTCTCGCATTCGTGTTGGTGGGCGGCAGGCCAAATCGAGGCGCATCGAGCTGGCCATGTACTGCATTCCTCAGGCCCTCAACTCGGCCGTCAACGAAGCTATCAAGTACGCGCCGACCCCCCTTACACACTTCCAGTCGGCGACCATGTTCGTGCTTGCCTTCATGTTTGCTGATGTACTGCATTTGGGGGATATGGCGTGAGCGCAGGTACAACAAGCTGCCGCGGTGGCTGGTGAACCTGAGGCACCTCGACGTGCTGTTCTTCTGCCTGGCGTCGGCCGTCACCGTCTTCTGCTACAAGAACGACCCCAAGAGCATTCGGCCCAGCTTCTACTTCCTCATGAAGTGGCTCTGGGCTTGAGCCCCTCCCTCGCCAGGTTGGCTGAGGGTAATGAACGGCTGTTTAATTTTACATGGCAAAGTTGTTGGTTACATGGGGGGGGTATGGGTGCACGTCGCGATCAGACGTTGTCATCGTTGAGCTGGGCCAGCACTGCCTTGAGTTCGTCGATGATCTCTTCTCGCCCGTCGTCATGTCGCAGGGCGTGCTCCACGTCATCGATGTGCGCCGAGAGGTAGCGCTGCAGCGCGTTGAGCGCGCTGAACTTGGTCTTGAGCGGCACCTCAGTCTCCGCCGCGCGGCCGCGGTCCGCGCCCTCAAGCACCTTCGCGTAGAACCGCTCCAGGCTGGCCTTGTTGGTCACGATGAACGAGTTGAGCTGCTCCATGTACGCTTCCTTGGTACCCGGCAGGGTGTCGTTGGCAAGGTTCTGCAGCACCTTCGCCACCAGAATCAACTGTCGCTGGGCCACCTGCAGTTATAGCTCCTATCAGCAACCCATCCAAAGAACGAAGAGCGAAGAGCAAAGAACGAAGAATGTGGGGGGGGGAGGGATACCGGGTGCGGCGGAGAGTCAAGGAGGCCGTAGACCTGGGGCGCCATGAGGGCGGGGCAGAGCATGCGAAGGAAAAGGAAGCCGCCCATGCTCCGGAACTGGGCCTGCGCGTCGTACTTGGCGCCCACCTCTGAGTCGATGTGTCGCATGAGCTGCTTGATCTGCGTGGGAATGATCTTCTCGCTGTCTACGATGCACTTGAAGAGCTTCTGCGCGGCGAGCCACAGCTCGAGGCTGTTGATGGTGGTGTCCGACGCGTCGTCGATCCGGTGCGGGTCGATCTCCATCGACGTGGTGCTCAGCAGGTCCAGGCTGAACCCGCTGTGTTCCGACAGCTCGGACTTGTCCAGCTTATACCGCGACTTCTTGCTTGCCAGCTCCTCTGCGCAGGCCCATCAGCTTTACTTTGAGCGGTGCGTGGGGTGTAGGGGCGTGCGGTACCTGATTCGGCGCCGAAGGACTCGACGGCGTTGTCGTTGAGGGAATGGACGGAGGTGACGAGGGTGAACCACCTGCGTACGCCGCGTGAGTGAGTAAGCAAGTAAAAAGTAAAAACAATAATAAATAAATAGATAAATAAAAACCAAAACGAAAAGCGAAGATCAAAGAGCGAAGGATCAACGCACAGATACTGCAGGCCCACCATGCGGACGTAGAAGCTGAACATCCGCACCGACAGACTGTTGGATCGGAACAGGGTGCCGGCGTCGGGAGCAGCCTCGACCTCCCTGCTGATGCGCTGCTCTAGGATCTGATAGCCCAGCTGGTTCGACTCGAACACGCACATCACCGCCTTCGACATCTGTAAAAGAGTGTTGTTTCGGACATAAGGTGAGATTACATTACACGAGGGGGGGGTAGGCGGACTTGAAGGTGGGTAAAAAGACCTTGTCGGCGTCGGTGGCCACCATCTTGTGGGTCATCGCGTGCACGATCCTTCCGTCTTCAGAAATGAGCAGCTGCTCCAACTCCTCCAAAGCCTGCGAAACGCGAGTGTCAGCATCCAGAGGTGCGGTGGCGTGTGCGGTGCCTGTGTCGTGTAATGGGTGGCGTGTGAGCGTGCGTGTGGTGATAAGTACCTGCTGCCTGCTCTTGGGAATGGAGCCGGCATCCTTGACCTCTCCGTAGGCCAGCACACTAAAGTTGGGCTGGCGCAGCTTCTTTTGCCTTCTGCGCCGGCCGCTCCGGCGTGCCAACAAAATTCCGAGCACCAGGAGCACGAGCAGCAGGAGCAACACGAAGCCGGCGACTCCCCCGACCACTCCGCCCACAATGGGTCCGCTGTCCGACCCGCCGTCCCTGATCGATCCGTCCCCGCGTGAGCGTCCATGCCTTTCAACTCCGAGAAACAAGAACGAAGAACGAAGACGGGGGAGGTACCCTGGCAATGGGACGGTGGGTGCGGAGGGAGACGGCAGAGCCGACACAAGGACCACCGTGTAGGCCGTCGACGTGGTGAAGTTGGCGCTGTTGGTGATCAGGCAGCGAATCACCATGCCAGCGAACTCGTCCGTCCCGTTGATGTAGAACGTGCTCTCCGTCGCCCCGGCGATGTTGTTCCACACCTACACACATGTGAACGCGCGCGGACCACATCGAAACTCTTATTCTGCGTCCTAGGGCTGATTGTAGCTCGAGCTCACCCACGTACCTCTGTGAAGGTGCCGTTGCTGGCCCTGACCACCCGGTACTGGGGCGCCCAGTCGGCGTAGAACGACTGGTCGTATTCGTCGTCACTGCCGCTGCTGCGCCTCACCAGCGTGTCGTTGCTGTCGGGAGTGGTTGAGTTGGCTGTGGCGTTGACCGGCACGAGCGTGAGGTACTGCCACTGGTAGGTCGGGCGCGGCAGGCCCGAGGCCAGCACCACCACCTCAAAGTCCACCGCGCCTAGGGGCACGTTCAGGTTGGGTCCGTCGGGCTGCGACAGGATCGCCGGCGTGCTCGCCGTCGCCAGCACGCTCACGCTCGCAGCGGCCGACGACAGCTCGCCGTCCGTCACGCACAGCCGAAGCTGATGACGTCATCACGCAAATCGAGTCAATACAAGTCAGAGTCGCAGGAAGTCGTCATGAATGGAGAGGGGACGACAAACCTCGAATGCGCCCAGGTTGTTGAGCATGAGCTTCGGGGCCTGGACCGACGTGTTGCTGATTTCGGCGATCTCGCAGGCGCTGCTGAGGACGGTCCACGTGTACCAGAGCTCGGTGCCCGGATCGCCCGAGTAGGCCATCTGCTGGTCGACGCCCGTGGCGTTGACCACCAGGTTGGACAGCGTCGGAACGTTCCAGCTGGTGCCATTCCCTATCCCCTCCGCAGCTGCATACATTCACCCAGAGTTTAGCACAACACACACCACCGCACGCACACGCGCACACGCGCACACGCACGCGCCATCGTACAACGTACTTATGGTGGCAGCGGGTGCGTCGTTGGCGGCGGTGCCCTTGTTGAGCAGTTCGAGTTCACCGGGCGTAAGGCCGTGGTCGTAGAACTTGAGCTCGTCCATGTACCCTCGCAGGCTGTCCGTGGTGAGCCCCGCATACAGCTGCAAGCTACTGGTCGTGATCTGCGGCGCCGAGGCTTTACGTGCGTCAGTGCCACCGCACACGTACGCGCACCTATGTACATGGCACGCGTACCTGGGCGGCAAGCGCGCATGGTGCCGTTGATGGCGACGCACAGGTGCGACGAGTTATAGACGCAAGCGACGTGCGTCCAGTCCGTCGACGTCCTGGGGTACTCGAAGCTCGAGTCCGTCGTCGTCTCCAGCGAAGAGAACACGATCTTGCAGGACAGCTGATATGTGCCGACAAAACAAAACTATCAGCGCGTGCGTGCGGTGGTGCGTGTGCGGTGTGTGCGTGATGTGTGCATTGAGGGGAGTGATACTGCGTAGAAGGACGAGAAGGCGGAGGAGGTGGAAGTGATGAGTTGGAACCGCAGGGTGCCGGGCCTCTGTGCGATCACGCGAGGCACGTAGCTGGTGGTGGAGGCCAGCTTGATCCAAGCGGCCACCGAGAACTGAGACGAGTCCGAACGTGGGAATAGGTTCAACGAACTAATCACTGCACCCGCCCATTCGTCTTTGTCAGGCACACACATGCCCTCACACGACACACGACTCACGACACACGACACACGACACACACTGCGCTAGTTGGGCACTTACGGACATTGCTGGAAGAGCTTGTGAGCGCCACGCCACTCCCGAATTTGCCCTCAGCAGATAGGGCCGCGCCGCTCGCTGCCTTGCCAGCTGTGTGGCAAGAAGAGACCGAACCCCCAACAACAGGCTATGGGCGTCAATGATATCGCGTGCGTCACCCCGCTGTGCCCCATACACGCCTTAATGCACGTGCCGCGCCCAAGGCAAGAAAAAAGAAGAAGGAGGGAACAAGCACAGAAGAAGAAGAAGAGGTACCGGGTACGGTGTTGAGGCAGTAGCCGGACAGGCCGCTGTAGTCACCTGTGCACGAGTATCATTAAGTGAGCAAGAAATAGTTAGATATATTATTATGATTATTCTATTTATTTGATAGGTTGAAAGAGAGGAACACGTGCTGTCGAAGGGGTAATAGGCCACCAAGGCGCCTTGTGCGAAGCCCGCCCCGAGGAGGGTCAGCAAAGAGATCACCACCAGGAGGCCCATGAGCATGGTACACCCCCGCCTCATCCTCATCATCTTCTTCCTTCCCCTTGGTGGATGCTTGTTGGGGAACTAAAGAAAATGAAGGAAACAGTTCGCGTTCATTTGATCCTCTCCAACCGGAGCTCGTTCGGAGTTGGCAATCTCGCAGACAAAAATAAAAACAACATCCTGGCTTGAAACAGACTACAGATAGTCAGGGGTGCTGCTTGTGCCGGTTGGCTCTCACGACGTGTCGTTGGGCGACCTCCGTGGCGGGTAGGAGATGAAGGAGGGCGACGTGGTGCGCGACGGCCGAGGCGGCGGAGAGGCCAGGGCTGAGGCTGACGCCACCCGCGCCGGCGGCGAGCTGAGGTTGACCACCTCCGGCGGCGCCGAAGTGGCGGGGCTGGTGGCCGTGGGAGGCGTGGGCGGCGGGCGGCGCTGGGCCAGCTTGGGGCAGGCCGTGGGCGACGACGGGTTGACAGGGGACGAGGGCGCCGACGAGGCCAACGCAAACGCGCGCCGAGGTCCGTTCGTTTCCGGCTCGTCGGGCGGCAGCGAGATGGAGCGCGACGGCATCGTGCCGCGTTGCAACAGCTGCGAGCCCAGGTTGGGAGTGGTGGCAGCCGGCGGCGATGATGGCGAGGCGGCTGCCGACGCCGACGCCGATAGGCCCGAGCGGGTCGGAAAGGCGGCGTTGGCGTTCTTGAGAAGGGCGTCGGATTGGTGGGGGTTCATGACGCGCTTGAGATTGGGCACCGAGGCTGAAGTGATCGGTGGCGAGTTGAGCTGGCTCTGCTTCTGCTCGGTCGTCGACGTGCTCCCGTAGCGCATCGTCTTGTAGTCCCGCGAGGCCGCGTCCTTCAACGTGGGCTCCGGCATCGAGGCCGCCGTCTTCCCGCCTGATCACAGAGATTGGTCAGTCAGCGCGTCGACATTAAATAAAGAGGCGGCAACGCACTGGGCATGGTGGTGTTGATGGCCGCCGGGGTGCTGATGGTGGTGCCGCGGATGGTCTTGCCGGTGACCGGCTTCTCGCGCGGCTCGCGGGCCAGGGAGAGCGTGAACAGGTCGGCCTCGCTCAGGACCGGCAGCTCGGCGAGGAACGTGTACAGCGGCTCCCGCTTCTCAAACGTGTAGCACGTCTGTCGTTGGAAGGTGCGAACAGGCAGCGAGTTAGATGGATGATGATGTGATGACGAATGAGTGAGGGTGGGAGCGCACCAGCTGATACTGCTGCACGCTCTCGATGATGTTGTAGACCATGCGGCGCTTGTTGATGTTGATCAGCCCCTCGAGCGTGTCCGAATTGCCGTCCTCCATGAACGTGAGATCGCTCAGGTACACGCCACTGTGCGAACCACCACCACCAGAGAGGGTCAGCCCAGGAGTTATATTCCACAGTGGTCCCTTCCCCCAAGGAGCTAATCCGTACACGAATGGAATGGTGGGCGGTGCGGCTGACTGAAGGGCGTCGCGGTATTTCTTGAACGACGCCTCGGGATTCATCAAGTCCTCCAGCTGGTTCACCACCTGGTACGCCCACGCACACGGTTGAGCTAAAATGTGATGGTGCGCTGTAAGCTTCAAGATGTGCACCTTGTTGGCTTTGTCCTCCTTCACGGTCTTGAGCCGACTGACGGCAGACAAGTTGAGTCCTGAAATGATCGCCATGAGGCTGTGGTAGTTGTGCACCTGCCTCAATTGCTGTGTTGTGTGAAGTCGGCCATGTCAGTGACTTTGAATCGATCAGTAGTGGGCAGGCGTGGCGTACCGCTGCCACGACTGCGAACTTGGAGAACATTTTGCGGCGCGTCTTGGAGGTGGGTTGCAGCAGAATCATGCCCGCCACCCAGAGCGACACGGAGTTGGCCCGATCTGTATGTCCGGACCAAATAACGCGGTTGGGGATTGTGCTCACAGCGTCACATACATGCGCAACGCAAGGCGCAAACATTGCGGGAGCCGTGGCGTACTGATGAGGTTGATGACGTGGTGCGCGCGGTACTTGAGCGGCTCCTTGTTCCATGCCCCGCTCAGCAACTCTTGTGGCTGTTGTTGTTGTTGTTGTTGTTGTTGTTGTTGTTGTTGTTGTTGTTGTTGTTGTTGTTGTTGTTGTTGTTGTTGTTGACCCGATGCATTAGTTGGTCAGTCATCCGCTCTCAATAGAGGCAAAGGGTCCAATCAATACCCGGATGCTCTTGAACATGTTGAAGTCGATCAGGGTCATCTGTTCCGCCACTTCGACGGACTTGAGCTCCAGAAACATCTTCGAGAACGAGAGCACTGCAGGCGGCTGTGACGACGTTTACCCTTCAGGTCAGCCTCTTTCTCCTCCGTGACTACTCAGAAAGTACGTACCTTGAGCTCGCGTAGGATGTCGATCTTCCTGCTTTGCCGGCTCTGATGGAGATGGCAACACGTTAGGCTACCAATTCCGAGAGCCGTACGGAGAGGCCAAACGGTCAAACGTACCTTGATCTCGCACGATCGTCGCAGAGCGTCCGCCGTGAACCGAATGGTCTGAGAATAAAGGGGCCTCGGAGTTAAAAACTGTGTGATGGGTGGAGGAGGACTGAGCGGGAGGGTGAACCTTGTTGGAATGCTGGGAGAGCTGATCGATGAATTCCGACAGC